TTTTTTTTCAAGTGCTGCTTTACAATTTAACTAGAAAACTGGAAAAAAGAGGAATGGAACTTGCCAGACCGAGCTGTGAAGAATCCCTCGGTTTTCATCGCTTAAATGCATTGCCAAACTACCGCATGTCCAGGGCACAAAGACCTGCCTCTTTAGGCTCAAACGAGTAACGAAGTAGCAAGCGTTAGCGAGGTGGGATGCTGTATCATTCAATTGAGAAAGCGCTGAAAATTGCGCCATTACTCTATAAGGTCTCTGACATGCATATAATCTTGATGCATGAGGTAGCATGAAGATCTGGCGTCCTGAGAGGATGAGGCTCGTCTGGATCTCTTTAAATGGTCCAATTAAGTCCTGATTTACTTGCCAACTTTCAAATCAAAGCTGGGTATCTCTCAATCCACCAAATTGTAATACTATGCCGGACAACCAATATCCTCTCCTTCCTTTGCATCGAAATGATGCCACCTCTTCAAGCTCTTTCATAACAGAAGCTCATCCGACGACTTCGCCTATGCCATCGAGCTCGCCGACGCCTATGCACTCAAATGCATCACCAGCTTCATCAAGTGTTTCGTCATTCGATACCGCAAATGAAACCTCGACGTCCAATCCATCTTCGAACACAGAAACGCATCCGACGACTCATAACATTGCACGAACCAATTCCTCTCAGTATCCAAGCAATGAAGACTCAAATTCCCCAGAAAACAATATAAATTCTATCCCAACCCTCCAATGCCCTCCTGGTTTCGGTACTGGACCCCAATCCCATGGTATTATTCTGCCATCTATACAAGCCAACCCACCACTTCAGGCCGCTACAGCAACACAAAACCCAACAAACATATTATCGGGCATCTCACAGTCCGAGAACAATGATCCCATTCCCCCTCCAGGCTACCCGAGGCTTGCTGTCCAAATGGGTTTGATGCCGGAAGCGGCCATATTTAAACGATTTGGATTCCTTAACGCACAGAACCTATTATACATGCAAGCCGAACTAGCCTCGTTGGAAAGACAACTGCGCACTCTCCAAGTTGAAGATGCCAAAGCGGATAGTAGAAGGTCCGCCTATACCAGAAACTGGTTCTTTCTCAGCCACCCAAATAGTCATGAAGGAGGCAGTGATGACCAATGGCGGCTTGTGAAAAAAATCCGTCGGAAGCTTAAAAAATACAGTAAGTTTGGAAAGCAATAATTCGACCCAATCCACTATTATAAGCCATGGTATGGTAGCACTAAACGCTCCTAGATGAAGCCCTGCTTCAGCAGATCAAGATAGTTTCCGTAGAACCCCCTCGTAAGTCTGATCTTCGATACATACAACAATACCTCAAAAGTCGCGACATGCAAGAAGGATATTTGCTTGGCGATGACGCAACACTATGGGGACAAGATTTGCCCGACGACAAGACGGATCATCAAAAACAACGCGAAGACGACCATGGCATAGACCTTCTAGCTTTGCTGCCGCGACACAATGAAGATTACTTCTCGAAAATGGTAACGGAGAACTTGATACAAAAGCTGGTTGACTTGAACCAAGGGCGGAAACCCTCGACTAGGGTGAAGTTGAAAAGATTCGAGGACGACAATGTCTTGCGATGGACGTTTCTAGTGGCCGGCGTGCTCGCGTCGGCATTGCCCGTCCTGTCTATTGGTATACTCTATGTTGCGAAGTCGCTGAAAGTCCGGATAGGGCTTATCGCGGTTTTCAATGTTGTCCTTTCCTTTTTGATGGCCGTGTTGACCTCTGCGAGCCGCGCTGAGGTCTTCTCAGTTTCAGCAGCATTTTCCGCTGTTCAGGTAGTCTTTATTCAGACAGGAGCCACCGACGAGAAGTGTACGCCAGCTTGACAGGGAAACAAGGAAAGTATAGTCGCAAAAAAATCGTGATGGCTAGGCAATAAAAAAGCCATGTCGAATCAGTTACACTGCTTTCCATACAAAGTGTTATCTTGCGATTCATCGAAACAACACTATGACCAAGTCTAATACTGCTAATGCATGCAAGTATGAGTGATTGATAATGTAAAGTAGAAAGGGGAGCTTTTAAGCGTAAAATGGTATCTAATAGAATTCTCAAGGCGGAGGAGGCTTATGGACTAATAAAACAGAAAAGTGTGCAAGAAACTAATGACAACTGCGGAATCGAGCTGTAAACCATCGGCAGAGCATTCAGACCAGCTGCACCTAGACTGTAATTCACTTGCCGAGGCCTATAACAGCCTTCGATTAGTGCGTGGCCCTTCGGCTGCTTTCCTTCTCCTTTTGCCTTTTATCTCTCATCTGCTTCTCGTACTGGATTTGAAATTGGCGATGCTCCTCGCGCTCTTTCTTCAGTTGAGCATTTCTCTGCTTCTGGTCACCTGTTGAAAGTCAGTTTATTAACTAGATTAGGAAGTTGACCCGCTCACCTTCAGGTGCATAAGGCAATGATTTACGTTTACCTCCTTGCCCTGTCGCGAAGAACCCTGAATTACGTGCGTTCAATTTATTGTTCCATATGGTTTTGGCGCACACAGTGACATCAAAGACCGCAGCCTCAGAAATGATGTAGAAGCGGGACTTTATCGCCACTGCTTCATTGATAAAGATTTTCTTTTCGGCCCGCTCCGCGTCATTTCCCCACCACTGTGCCTCAAATGTGCCGAAGATCATCACTTTGGTACCATCTCCATTGCATATGTCGACAGGAGGGTTTTTTGGGTGATCGAAATACGTAATGAAGTTGTCGGGAAACTCCAAGCCACGTAGCACACGGGCGCTGATGAAAAGAAACGCTTCCTCGCCTTCAAGGCAGTAGTCGAATTTGGCGCGCGTGAGCATCTTCATGGGTTTTTGGTATATTATTCCATTGCTCTCGTAGGGTTTTTTGGGAAGCTCAATCTCGATATCTCTAAGGAAATTCTCGTGCTTGTATGGGTTAGTAAATTGACCAATGGACTTGTACCATGAAAGCCCATACCTTTAGTCGGGTAGAGAAAGTACACCCCAGTACACAGCGCAACGCTTCTCTGATACATGGCCTATTCTTCCTTAGAGACGAGGTGTGGTCATCTTGGTGCGTCTCATAGGGAGACGGTACACGATAATTGTTGGGCGGGCCGACAATAAAAGTGGTACTTGGCCCGCTCGGGGCGATGGTTGCATTGTTCATCCGATACGAGCTCTACGGTGAAATAGAGGCTTCCTTATGAAAGAAATGGAATATTTGTTGACAGAATCGGTGATTTAAACCAGTGGGGCTACTTGGTGGCTTTGAAATCTGCTCTAGATAGTAAGCAAATGTGATGAATCGTCTATATGTGAGCTTCATTCGGGCGACACCGACCTTAGATGGGAAGCAAACTTGAAGGTGGGTAGTAAATCAGCATCGCTAGGGTGTAGTACTTACCAAACAAAGCTGGGTAGTGCAATGCGGGCGCGTGAAAAGTCCCACGTCATACCCCACCAAGTCTGCGACTGGGTGAGGGGAAGCAGCGATAACAAGAGCGCTGACCCCAAGCGGGGTTTGAGGCAATGGATGTAGCAAGCAGAATTTGATGAGAGGCACTGCGGTAGAGAGTAGTACAAGCGAAGAAAGAAATAGGTGTAGAAACAGATCTGGGCGCGATGAAGGGCGTAAATCAGTAGCGCGAAGGGCGGAGTGGTGGTGCCGTGGAGTAGCTTAGCCCCACCTCGGTGCGATCCCCCTCGAGTTTCAGCTAGTTGTAATCAATCATATTGCAATGATTTTCAAGGCAGCTTGCCCCTGGGCTAGGAGAGCAGTCACACTCCGTAGAACCAAACAAAAGTCAGCTGGAAGCCAAAAGTGGAGCCATACCCGATAGCGTAACGGGAATGGCCGAGGAGAGCAAGGAACACGACTGGTGCCAACTCGAGGGTGTGGTACGATTGCTGATGAGGCTCTTCGGAGCAGACTATCCTTCTCGGACGCTGACCAGAACGTCAACTTGCACGCCCGTTTTGGCGAGTTCTTGCGTGTCTCTATAACCCTGTATCGGCTGGAAGGCCATCGTACCAGCGGCTATCTGCCCATGACAGTCTTAGGGAATTTCCCATGTTCCTACGGATATCTGCAGCACATGATGATATCTCTTCCAGATTTCGATACGTTATACCTTTGTGTATTTTGGGATTGTTGGCTGTTCCTATGGCGCGGCATGGGACCCTGCGCACCTTAGACTTCTTCGCCCAAGCGATGAGGAGGTAATGAGATGGTTCGCCGTTCACAGCGCTCTACCGCAACCGAGAAACAGTTGTTTCAGAGTTATCGTGCGGACCTCCAATGAACTCATTCGACGTGTCCACGCAAGACTGGTCCGGAGCTGTTCGGCAGCAAGGCAGACAGTAAGGCGAGCAGGCGGGGGCGGGGCAGAGTCCAGTGAATGCCGTCCACGTCCACAGATATTTCTCCTACCTTTGCGTCATGAAGGCCTAGAAACCCACAAGCAACCGACTAACCGAATGCTTTTTTCCTTCTCTTACTTAAGGGTGATAGTTTTCTCATCTTAGTTTCCTAGTATAAGAGTTGAGCAAAGGTGTCTTTGGCTGTAGGCGCAGCGACAGTTGATAGGCGTGTCGATATGTCTTTTTGCTTTCAAGAAGTGTTCCTCGATGAAAACAGGTAATGCAGTAGAATGAGGAGCGCGACCACAGCATCTTCAATGACTCCGCCGGCGGCACGTCATTTGTCGCACAAGCGCATGTGCAGATGATCACATCGCATAGGCGCTTGACGCACATACGGAACATGCATATCAATGCTGTCAGCCCAAATACGAGTAGCGAATCAGAAGTAAAAAGATCATGCGACCAGCCACCGTCCTTGATATGTCTCACCATCCCATCTCTTTATCCCCATACATCCTCAAAGCGTACCCCACACAAACCGCCTTCTGGCGCCAATACTCCGCAGAGAAGAATCCCTCGCCATCACCCTCACCCTCCCTCGCCTCCCTCGCACACCTCCCCAACTCCACAAACTCCGGCATCATCAAAACCGCCGCAAAGCGATCAAGCTCCATCACCCAACTCAGTAAGTCCTCGATATCAGTTACCGCGTCAGCATCCTCATCGCCGCAATCATCGAGCGGATCATACGAGAAGCGCGCAGCGCACCGTGCTAGCGCGGCGTAGAAGCCCGCGGCATCGGCTTCGCGCGCGGCGCGCCCCATGGCGTGCAGGTGCGGCGTCAGGCGCGTGTGCTTGTAGACGTTGCGGTTGAAGGCGAGGGCGTGGGCGGTCCACTCGGTGAGTTCGAACGAAAGGCGCGTGCGCGTTAGGTTGGGGCTTTCGCTTGCGTTGGAAGAGGCTGGGCTGTGTGGAGAGAGGTGCTGGGCGAAGGCATCGAGTGCGAAAGGGGCATTGCGCTGGTTGCTGGCTGGCGGGGAAGCGCGGGCGGGACTGAGGTCCGAGACGGGTATGTCGGCGTCGGGTGTGTATTGCTGAGGATGTTCTTCCTGTCCAGCTTCCTCGAAATGGATGGTGACAGCCCGGCGCGTGGAAGGACCTTCACCAGGGCTGTTGAAGACGAGCTCATGTTTGCGTTTCCGGGAGCGGAGGTCGTGTTGTGTTTCCGCTGAGGGACTTAACGGGGCATCCACTTGCGATTCCCCCGTTTGCAAAACTTCGCCTTGCCCATTTTCAGTAGCGTCAGGCTGGTGAGCTTCAAAGTCGGAGCGATCCATCGCATCGTGATCGGCTTCAGTTTCAGCAGCGCCTTCCACGGACGTCTCAGATACATGTGCGGAGATGTTGTTGTCTGGCGAATTGCGAAGTGGTGGATGAGCGTCATCGGGAGTTCGTGGGACAAGCACTGTGTCTTTCGGCTCGTAAGGTGGTGGAGAATGGGCTTGAGAACCATCCGACTGTACATGTGCACGAGGCTTATTCAGTCGAAAGGCATCCCAGTTGATTATTACCGCGTCTCTTCTCCCATACAGACCAGTGAAATCTACTGGAAACTGCCTCAGGGATGGCAACCGCTCACAAACTGTCTTCAAGCCTTGTCGCGCATACCCACTTGATTTCACATAGACGGCAAATTCGCGGGCCTCCGAGAGAGTCCTCAGGCCCTCGATGAGATCGCCGGACGTTGCGGTGCTCGGAACGATGGTCTTGGCTGTAGTTGTAGGCATCAAAAGATATCCGGGCTCCTTGAGCTTGAAGCAAAGACGAATAATACTGTCCGAGTCGCAGATACCGACTTCTTTGATCGCGGAGGCTATGACTGGAGCGGTGATGGTCGAAACACTAAGGACTTCATGCGCAAGACCTTCCGGAGCGAATGATTGCAGTGGAAGTACATACAGCAGCTCCCTGTCGCGAGGCCTACGAGCAACTTTGACGGAGACCACCAAAGAGAACCGAACGAAGGCCTGCTCCGCATCCAAGCTGACTTTAAGTGTGAACATAGTATCCTGCTTGTTGACATGCGACACAGATCCAAGTGTGCAGACCTCAGAAGTCTTTGGGTCTCTCCATTCCGCCAACACCCTTTCGGTAACAACGTCATTCAGTGTACCAGACCCGGCCATGCTTTCAATCGATCGATGGATTCAGCGAGGTGGAGAAGCGTCTCGGTGAGCAAGAGAAGGACAGACAAGGTTGCGTAACCTAAATTGAGGTCAGCCAAGAGGTGATTACCAGCACAAACAAATCAAGCAAATGACAATCCCTACACCGATCGGCGTAGAAACCCTCCCACCCGGGCTTTCCGAGCAGGACTTCGGGAGCAGCCCTGACTCCAATGTCGTGGCCTGCCGATTCGACACTGCGCTCGAGCCGACGGACTGAGGACCGTTCCCAACGCCAACTCGAGGACCTAGACCACTGCGGAAGAGCTCCGAGGCTAGTTCCCAATAGCGACCTGAGGGCCAACCGTTGCAGCGGAAGCTGACGGTCGTCCCCAAGCAAGTCGAGGACCCGAGCACTGCGAAGGACGGCCGAGGGTAGTTCCAAGCGGGATGGGGGACCAGGACACTGCAGAGGACGTCGAACGTTGCGCGAAGGATGCACTGATAGAAGCAGCAAATGGAGCGATAGGCAAGAGATGCAGCGGTGGAGTTGCGATGACGCGCACTGAGATGGAGGACGACGCGGAGTCGACGCGGTGCAAAGCGCGCGGCGTGCCAAGAACTCACACGTGATTATTGTGTCACGTGTGCCCCCACACACTCCTCTCCCACGACACTCACCACTCCCACTTTCTGGTTAATATCTCCTAAAGTACTTGTCGATACCATCACAAGATTCTTACCCATCTCAGTCTCCGTCGCAATCACCGGCAACCTCTCATGAGTCGACATTGGCATGCAGCCGACTTCACCGGTCGGGCGCTGGGCTGGACTTCGCCGTGCCAATCGAAACTTGTAAATATGTCAGGCTCCATCTGGGCTCAAGGCTGAATCCAAGCCTGCATCCAGACTCTCATCATACCACGAGTTAGCTGAATCTGTCACGACATACGCTCAGCTTTTCATCTCTAAGATGAGATGGCCGACGCGGCTGAGACACTTGGGACCAGATGCTTCTCTTATCAACAGGAACAAAGCCTACAATAGGTTGGATGTAGCCGCATTGCTTCCGTTGTTTCCTAGAGACTGCACAACACAGAAGAGTACCATCGGCCGCTCAGTGAGGTGATTGGTGTATTCAGCCTCGAAGAAAGCTCGGCTGATCAGCGCCACAAGAACTTTGGGGCTGATATAATTAGCAAGAAACACTCATAAGCATACTGCAGGTGCTCAACTCTCATCACAATCCTGTCCCGCTTCGAAGGCATCAAATTCAACCACACATTTCATTGCATTTCGCCGCAATCAGCCGCTTTCCTCAAATCTTTCAGACATCATGCAGCTAAACGATGACACATGGCCCAAGGACGGTTATGGGTCGTAGTGTATGCAGCGATAAGCTCCTGCTTTAGATCTATTACTCTTACTGACAGAACAATTGCAGCAGTCTAAACGTTCACTTTTCCCCGGACTGATCGACGCACACCTTTACGATCCTAGCGGAACATCATAAGAACTACCTGCAGGAACGACGTCGTACGGGTTGTCTCGGTGTACTCTTATGTTGCATAAAAATGACTTTTAGTCGCCCAAATGGTACTTAAATAAGGGCTTGAATGTCGTAGACTGATTATCGAATACTTCATGGCCTGCCAAGGCCATTCTACTATGAAGAATACAGTTTAATCTTGCTTTCATAAGCACATTTCCAGTGAATATTCCCGTCACCAACCTTCTAACAATCCACAATTCCAACGCACTTGTAATCATCTCCGGTCCTCCAAACCCGTTTTATCCGAAAGCAATGATACCGGAGAGCCTGACCTTTCACCGACAATCTCCTCACCTGCGCCACTGCTACTACTCCGCCTCGAAGATAAACGCCCACCGTCAGCAAGACTCCGCAAGCTAACCCTGTCGGCTCCGTATTCCTCTTCCCAGAACGACGAAAACTGGTTCATTTCTTCGCCCTCTGGATCATCTTGCTCAACAGGCCCATCAGCCCGCACTTGTTCATGCCGTTCGTAGCTTCCAGTGTCGTCGCTGTCCTCGTTGCCTGCCGCGGATCCCACATGGCTTTGTGGGCGGTCGTTCCAATTCTGACAAACCCTTCCGCTGCCCACATCAATTCCCCACCTCCACTGCGACTCGTTCCCGCGACCATCAGTAGCGGATTTATCCACTTGCCACCATCCAAGGCCGGGATTGTCTTTCCATATTGTTGTACCTCTCACTGATGCAATGCCTTCCTTTCGAAGATGGCTGACAAGCGTACTCCCGGCAAGAAATGAAAACCGTGCTGCGATAGAGTCTGGTTCCATAGGTAGAATAGACGCGCTCGGGAAGCGGAATACGACCCACAGCAGACAAATCAAAACCACGAAAAGCAGAATTTCGAGGATAATAGTAGTGCGTAGGTCCTGATAGAAAATCGCTTGTTGGTGGATTGCTGTGCCTTTGATAGTCTTCGATGCTGTAGAGTTGGCTGCTTTCAGTGCATACGGGCGCACCTCACTCAGCATTTGTGTAGTGTATGCCGTGTACATTTCCTTTGTCGCCTTGGAAAGCCCATCTGGGTCACTAAGTGCCGATAGGTCGTTGAGATAATATTTGGCATATGTAGCAATCAGCTCAAAAAAGTTGGTGCTGCCGCCAGCGGGCCAGACGGTAACCCCCTCGAGAGATCCAGGCTGGTACTGTTCTAGACCATATCCTCGGTGATAAAAATGGTCCGGTGTAAACCAATCAGGGGGATCGGAGGTGTTGAGTTCATTTCGGACTATTATGGAATCCGGATCATAGCTGGAAGGGCTCCATGGAAGGATTTTCATTGTCCCATCTAACCCATGGATGGTGGATCGGGTAAAGGTTGTGTTAACTTCAATGGCCTGTATCAATCGTCTGCAAGATGCAGCATTTATTGTCGGAAGGGACACATTAAGCGAACCCGGGGTAAGTAGCGTTCCTGGAATTGAGCTTGTTGAAATCGGCGTGTTGTTCCTGATAGGGTCCTGGATGGACGTGAAATTTGCCAAGATGACCTGGTAATTCCAATTACTGTCAATAACGCATTTACCCTCATACATATTTGGCGATGAAGAACCCGATCCAAACGTGCCTGCTCGATGAGATATTTTGGCACACGCTTCTGTAGCGCAATCAAACGAAAAGTAATATCCGGTGTCAGTCAGCCTTGCGTAAATCGCAAAAGCGTTGGATGGTATCGCGGTACATTCCACGTCGACCGCTATAGCGGGTACGGTTGCATTAATGCTGTATTCAGCACTATTATTGCCGATACTTTGCCAGTCTATCCCGGTGAAGTTGCTGAAAACTATGTTCTCCAGAATTCCTTGTCGTTTTGTCATATTGGTGGTAGGGGTGACGGCCCACTCTGCGTATTGCACTGCACGCGCAGCTATAACATCGGCATCGTATTTTCCAAGTGGGTTTTCCATAATACTCGTATCGATAGTAATGTTGGTGGGGCGCCCAATCTCAGCAAGGTCTGTAGTATATAGCCCGGCAGCTATTACTTTAATGACAGGAAACAAAGACATGGTTAAAGAACAAGCCGCTACAGCAAATCCGAGCTTGTAGATTGGAGCGGCGAATGGAACCAAAATATTTGGAATCTCTTGGAGGCTGAGCTTAAGCGGGTCTTTCTTCGTTGACTTCCAAAGGCTCTTATATGGCGTAAGAGAATTGACTGCGCCATCAATTCCAGACCAGCAATAGCTTAGAAGAACAAGTACAATGGTAGGAACAAAAGCAGTGGCTAGCTCGCTGCTCCCACCAGCGCTCCAGAGGCCGTCTCTCTGTTTCGAAAGAACTTGAAGCACAGCTAGTACAGTTATTACAGCGCAGAAGGCGATTACTAGTAGGCTTTTCGCCCAAGTTCGAAGTGCAAAAGGCCGCCAGCCTTTAGGGTTATCTGAGACGGTTTGACTTTCAACGATTGCTTCCGGAAGGCTTTCTAGGCAAACAACTGATATATCGTACCCAGATTCGCGTGTCTGGCAATTATGAGAGACAAACTTCCATCTGTAGTGGGAGAGCCCACCACTAGCGGTTTTGATTGAAGATGTTGAATATGGTGAAAATGCTCTTTCAGTGTGGGGACTGGAAGCGGCCAGTACTACGGCGGTAGCTGCAATCGGGCCAGGGTCAAGCCGTAATCCTGAAGTGGGCCGAAGGACCGTGGCTAATAGGATACTGGCAATGCCAACAGCTGCCAATAGAGCTTGTAAGATGCGCACTGCAGCTCCCCGCAAGAACATCCTGGAGTCGGTGGTAACTGCGATTCCCTTAATCTGTTGTGACTCGACACTTTTCCGTGCGAAAATGCTCACAACCTGCGTGAACATCTCATTTGCAAGTGTCTCGACATCCTTTCCAAAAGAGGTGGCGTTTGCTAGGTACTTTTCACTCATTGAGACACTGTTTCCATTGGCCAGGGTTGTGAAAAAGTAGTCCGACGGCAGTTCTGCAGAGATCAAAGAAGCACCACTTAATGAGCTCTCTAGAGATCCTCCTGCTTCTCCCAGAGGGACTTTGGAGGTGTTGAAAAATTCTGGGTAAGAAGATATCTGCAGTTGAAGCTGTTTGTCGTAAGGGTTGTTTAAATAGAGCCAAATACCCGTCGCCGGGATGTTCATGTCCACCGGCATGCGACTGTCCGTGTTGGAGCTAAAGTCTGACTTGAGTATCTCACCAGTCGTGGCATTGACTTCAACGTGGACGTCTTGCGTGTAGAAGGTCGGTGAACACATGAGGCCGGCCACTGAGAACAGGCCTTCTGTGCAGGTATCATTGCTAAGATTGTTGTCGTTTGATTTTCCATTTGCGCCATTCTCAG